ACGTTTAGACTGCATTTCTTCTATGGGTTTTTCTGGCTTTGGATTTACTGTGGAGAATATATCAGATGGGGGAAGGTACTAACACGACAGTTTTACGTTTGACACCGCTGTACGCGCAAATTGAGCTCCATTTCTCACTTTGCCTGCTGCATTGGTAATTTCGCGAAATGCCTAGGAATTTTGCAAAATGCCGGATTTCGCATTTTACCGGTAACATATATATAAATTGTTTTTTATCTTTTCGGTTTTTTTACGGTTCTAGTTCTTAACGGTTATTGGAAGTTGAAGGACGCGCCGGCGAACACGTCCTGAAAATTGAATTGAACGTATCGAAATTGAAGGCGGTAATTTAGCCACTAGGAACTATAAAAGGAGAGGCGACGTTTTAAAAAATAAAAATAAAATAACAATACTTCATAGATGATTTTTTTACATAAGTTTTTGTGTATGTTTTCTGTTTTTTATTAATGAATTACGTTTAAATACAAATTTCCCTCTTCCTTCTTTATTCCCCTGGTCGTTAATTTTTATACGCGTATCATTTTTATTTTTCCATATAAGCCGGGTAATTGTCCCTTTAAAAGAAACACCCTGTATGTTTGTTGAATGGCAGGATCACAAGCGGTCAGACTTGAAGTAAGCGGGCAACAGAAATTATTTTTTTACCTTTGTTGAAATTTTTTCGTATAGTTTTTTATTGCAATTACCATTTTTAAAATCAAAAATCAAAATATGTCGAAATTGTTTATAGGCAAGCCCTACATCTTCATCGAGTTCTTAGTCAACTTGCTAGCACGCTTCATATTTGCACAAAGTAAAATTTGTTGTTTGATTGAATAGTAGGTACAAATTACGATTTTCGCTAGATGCGTGCTTTTTGCTCAAGCCGATGCAATTGGAAACAGTTTGGTTTGTGCACGATCCTCGTTATATATTTAGATAGGGCAGTGAACACGAGGTCGACATTTGTACAAGAATAATCCTAGATTGAAATTCTTTTCTTTGAAAAGAAGGAAAAGGTAGTGACATTGTGAATTCATTCCCTCAGTCTGGCGCATAATATAGTATTATTGGTGTCGACTATTCACACGATAATGCATTAATGATGAGAGGCGACGAGGATGGCTAAACGAAGGACTAGTTGCAAGATGCATAGTTCTCCATCACGGTGTTGTTTCCACACTCATAGAGAATTTTTATCTCATTAAGTATAAACGATTTTTTTTGATAACCTTCTATGTAAATCACCTTAATAAATCTGTCGGGTGTAATGTAATGAATCGTTAAATTTCCAAGTTTTTGTTGTACTACAAACATTCAAATAAACGTGTAAGGTGTGAATAATATATTAAGATTGCCGTTTGGTAAAAAGCTCGTTGTGCGTGTGCACAATTTCGTCACCGTGGAGGAAATTTCGGGAGAACTGCAGTCGGGTAGTCTGGAAACTTGGCGCTGCATCGATGCAGTTGCAGTGTTCCCATATCGACACCAGACCCAGTCTTCAGACCCTGTAAAAATCGATCTCACTCCCTATTCCGGCAACGTTGTACGCGAGGTAACGTCCTGTCCTAGGCATGAAAAATTACAGTGCAAGTGAAAAAACTACTGTCACTACATGGTACATATCGACCCAATGAAATAAAACACGACAATTCGTGTCTCAACAAACAACAATATTTCACCTAACACACCAGCATCAAACAAAGTGTCGCATTTTGCAAACATCTTCCGATCTAAATTTTTAATCGAGCGTTTCGTCCTCAAAGAACAAGCGCAAATGCATCATCATCACCTTAAGCGGTTTGAATGTCGATGACCGGGCACCTCGTAAAGATGCCCTCGGGAGTTCCCGATGATAGAGAGACCCACAACTTTGCATAAAACTAATTTTGATGTGTTTCGTCACGTCATGCGATTCCCCATTCAATGATACAGAAACAAACAGTAGCTTTGGTCAACCGCAAACAAAACCACATTTTTGGATTCTGGAACAGAAGCGTTAAACACGATCGAGTTCTAATCTGTGTCTTAAAACTACGTGTCCGCGTTACGCTTGTTTTCCTTTGTTCAATATTCATTTTCTTTTTGCGCGACGATTAAAAGTGGGAAAGGAAACATAAAAATTGATAGGAATATTTTCACCCTAGTAATTTAATTACGTTAGAGCCTTAGAGCGTCAATCGGCAGAAGATTTTGAGACGAACCATGTAAATGTAATTTGAACCATCGCGATGAAAAACAGGTATTCTCTATGTGATTCTGTCCGTTAGTCAATTTGCAGTGTTTGGAAGAGACGGACAAGCTTTGAATAAAAACACTATTTTTTGTTCAATGGTTAAAGTAAAGGTAGGTAGTATCGAGAAGTCTCTGCGCTATAAGCGTATAACCACTCAAAGTAACGTTTTAGTTATGGGAATTACTAGGAACCTTGATACAATTTGAGCTATGAAAATTATTTCTTAGCGTTAAAGCGTGCCCAAATTACAATGCAATAATTGTTAAAACTATAATCAGTGTAACTGCTTCACTGAATGAAAACGTTTTTTTCCATGTCCATTCCATTCACTGAATCACTTCATTGATCAAGCGAGTAATTTCTATTGCCATAATAAAATTGATAAATTTGCCACTCATCACACCGTGAAATATGAAACCAGGTCTTAATCCTTTTTACAGCTCCATATTTTTGTCACATTTCCTTCATTTGAATGCACAGTGAAAGTAAAATATTTATTTTATGAAAGTGACACGTTGCCCATGAAAATAATCTTAGCAGTGGTGAAGACCGACGGACAGACCTATGGGCGTAGTGACCGTTATACAGGGTGGTGCCTAGCGCGACGCAGCATAGGGATTTCAATGGTAATTTCTTTATAGTCAATTACTAGCTCCCCTAATTATTTTAGAGCAAAAGTCTAAATACGTTTTTTAGAGAAAAAAATACTGCATCTGTTCATACTTTTAGTTATAATTTTCCATTTTTCAAAACCGTAGAAATTGAGAAAATAAAAAATTACATTTTTATAAATCAGTGATGCTTTGGAATCTTTCAACAAACTAGAAGCGCATCGTATCTAAATTCCCTCTAAATTATCGTTGTTTGACGTCGAACAATTTTCATATTTAATTCTGTTTCAACTAACCGACGCAATAAAAGGCATCTTAGGGTAATGTTTTTTCAGAGAATGTAATGCTGCATCTGCATCAGATACTATTTGTTTATCATTTTTCGAACCAGAGTACTTAGAACGAAGAAAAAATTGATTTGAAGAAGATTTGTTCTTAAACTCTTTCCGCTACTGCAGCCAAAACGTTGAATGTATTGTCGTTTTCCTGATGGTTTTGACGGACATTTTGAACGTTATTGCTCTTGCAGTTCTTTAACCAATACATAAAACAAGTATAAATTTAATATGCGTCAAAGGTAAATAATGAAACGTGATCGCTGTTTTCTTTAGGTAATTCCAAGGCATATTTGATTTATTGTAAAATGAACATTTTATTTTGTCGATTTCTACGGTTTTGCAAAACGGAAAATTATGAGTAATAGCATGAACAGATTCAGTATTTTTTTCTCTAAACAAAACGTATTTAGACTTTTGCTCTAAAATAATTAGGGGAGCTAGTAATTGACTGTAAAGAAATTACCATTGAAATCCCTATGCTGCGTCGCGCTAGGCACCACCCGGTATACAGGGTGTTACAATATTAAGTATGTGGATGGGTGGGTAGAGGGGCTCGGAACAAGCACTTTTTCCAAATAAACCGAGGATCCAACTTGTTTAGTTTGGGAGTCACCCTCAAAAAAGTGGTGAAATATTTCTTTTTTAATTTTTTTCTCAGCAACCATAAGAGTTATAACGGCTGGTGGCACGTCTTTGAATAGGTTTGGGGGTATGCGCCATCCGATTTTAGTTTCAAAATTCCTACCACAGAAGGGCGCACCTTTAATTGGGGCGAAATTTGGTACCTGTAATTCTTGGCCGGAATCATAAACATAAAAGCACAATGCAATACAGTCGTTGAAGTATAAAAAAGTTTAATGTGGGGGGGGTCTAAGCGTTCACATATTCCTCATTTGATTTTTCCAAATATCTGAAACCAAAAGGGCACAGACTGTGAGCATAGAAACACGAATACGCACAATCGGAGTACTATATTAATACCGTTTTCAGTATGAAAAAATTATCAAAGTCAAAGTGTGAAGTTGGTCCCCACAAATTTGATTCCTTCGTAATTTTGAAACCGGCAGCGCGCAAACAAAATGCAATTGTGCGCAAACGAAGCGCAATCCATTTCAATCCCGAAAATTATTGCCTTTTAAAGTTGGGGGGCCAAGTTCACACAGGTGCTCGCATTTGCTGCCAAGTGAGATTAAAAGCTACCCTTTTACAAATAAATTTGCAAAAGTGCGATAAAAAGTTTAGTTGGGGGGGTTACTTGGCCCCTATTTAGTTTCGAAATATTTCAAAAACCAAAAAGGCACAAACCGTAAGCATAAATGCACAATTGACATTCAGTATACAAAAAAATTGGTTCATTTTTGAGCTGGTGGCTAAGTGAACGGACCCACTCGTTCAAACCAAACCATACTTTTTCATGAGTTAACGTGCGTTACACGATGTTTTAAGATCTCATTGTAAATTTGATGAGCGCAAGTATGCGAAATGGTAGGTATTGTTTTCTAGACTCGCAACCACACCAAAACGCAACTTAAAGGCGAATGTCGGGACAGGACCGCGATGATGTGAATGCGTGATCGTCGGCAAACGAAGCGGGGTAGGGGAACTCCGACACGCCGCCGTGGTCGACTCGACCAAGGAGGAACACGAAACCCTTGAGAAGGTCGCGGCGAGATTGCAATGCTTGATTATCATATTATGGTCTAGAGGTAAGGTACAGGTTTTAAAAAAACGTCATTTAGCGGACATTTCTTAAAATTGGTCAGTTGCGACTTGCGAACTGTGCTGCGGTTACTTTATTATTGCCGAAAAAAGTAGTAGCTAGGTGTCGGTATATTCAATTCACACAGAGATGTTCGTGCAGCTCCAGTCGCATCCCAAATTGCAGTTCGAGGAATTAGTAGTGCAGGCGGCAGCGACGACCTTGAATCACGAATGCGTCTAAACGAACTTCGATTTTCGGCAATATGCGGCATTCGCCAATAAATATGACCGAGCGTGGGAATGTTGTTTGTCAACAAAGTCTGAGAACTTGGACTTGCTCCATAGTACATTAGGCCGAATTGGAACGGGGGATGATTGAAAAGTGTGTCATACTTGTTTTGGTGCGTAGGTCAGCGTCGCCGTCGCCGTCTGTGGTGTACGATAAACAAATGGCACGTCCCGCCCACCCTCCGTTGTTAAGGTGGAAGGTTTTAAGTCGGATACCCATTTTTTGTGATAATGTGTGATATTGATTCGGGTGCAGCGGGCCGGCGCGATGCACGTGCATGCGGCGGGTGCAGGCAGGCGGCAGGGGCGACAACCGATGCAGCCAGACAAGAGGGTCGGCAACATCGCTTCATCTCGCGAGATCGGAGAGGGTCTCGACGGCACATGAGGTCGTCTCTTGTCGAGCCGGCAGCGGGAACCAGTGCGATCCCCGCCACCGTTGAAAAACTGAAGCAAATTTGTATGCAGGAACGATCACCGAGTGCTGCAGCCTAAATGGAGGCTGCATCCGCGAGTGCAACGCGCCTGGACATCCTCGGCCAGTGTTCCCTGTGCGAGTGCCATGTGGTGCGTGAGGTGACGCCGCGGCCGCCCCCCAACGCCGACGTCTTTGTATTATTTGTGTGAGTGCTTGCCGCATACCGCCGCCGGTTATTACTTTGACGATTCGCGCTTCTTTCATTCCTTTATAACATCGATGCCCTTCAGATATCATCACGATGGCAATCAATTTTTCAGCATCTTTTGCTGCATGTCTGGCGGCCGGACTCAAAGTTCCCAGACAAATTATGTACTGCATTTCTCAAGGTAGGATTTTTCTACATTACAGAAAGACACCCCAACCCCGTCCGTATCTCATTTGATTCTCACCACCTTCCCTTTGAGCGCGTTTTCTATCAAAAGAGATATCAATTCTGGGTTCATATCGGAAACCGGTTTATTTCGTACGAAAATTTAAAACGCCAACTCTCACAAAGAAAACCCCTTTCTTATTATTAAGTTAGGCGCATTCGGGCTTTGCAAAAATTTACATTTTTTTCAAAAGGAATAGCAGCCGGCAAATCTTTTTAACATGTTCAAATGAAATGGACTTTCAACATTAATTTGCCCAATTAACGAAATATGATTTCTTTTATCGCACTTATTACGCACATTTGTGTATTTATAATTTGAGTATCCAATGTCACTTTTATAACAATCTGCGACTGCGACAACCGATTAAAATAAGGGACATCGAATTAATTTCCACATTCCCGTTTCTATCGAAATTAAAGTAGGTAGATACCTACCTGTGTAAAAATGGGTTACAGTACCAAATATTTATGGACTCGGACACTTTCATAAAAATAACTTATCTACATAATTGTTTCCAAACACAAGATCGTATCTCACGAGTAACCTGTATCAGATGGATTGACTTCAACACAATTCAATTGTGTTTGTAAACAAACTATTTCTTATTCACACTCGAAGGTCTTTTATACGCCTACCGGATTTGACGCAAATTTCGTGTAATAAGTTTGTCTAGCGCCCTTTTCCAAAAAAACGGCGGCATTTGCACGACTCCTCCAATTTTGCATTTAGTTATTATTAGTTACTACGGGGCGGTTTCATATCTCGATGAGATGGAACATTGTAGTTACTCCCTCAAATAGGATACAGCGAGGGATGCAGACTTTGTTACCTAATTTCAGATTTTTGCCAGTGGAGATAATGTTAATTATTGTCCTCTACAGTTGTAGGAATCATAATTTTTTTTTAGAATATCACACGTAGTGTTTTTGTAGAGTAGGTACACTAATTTCCGATAAGAAATTGATAAATTTGTTGAGTCGTTCGTTTCTTTATAATTAGGTGTTAATTAAAAATTGGAGATATTTTTTTATAATTTGCCTAATGGCAATGTTACGTAATTTTCCATACAAGTTGTTTTTATTCTTGTTTTCTACATTCCTTAGATTATAAACTTTACAATCGCGAACTAATTAATTTCTTTATAAGGGTTAAACTCATTTTAAGGGCTGCACGTTTACTCTATAACCTACCACAAATTTATTACCTTCATCCTGTTTTTTTTATACCTAGGTATACGACAGAACACTGTATCTTATGGAATTGTACTATGCGATCAAAACTCAAAAGAGTTGCTGTCGAGAATTTTTGGGAAATCATATTTAACTTGAACTTCCAAAGGCGACTCGACGTCGATCCTTTTTTGATCGCCCATTATAGTCAAGTTATTTATAAATGAGGGGTTTCGTATAGTGACCAGCCAAAAACTTTGATTGGTATTGATGCTAACCTGAGTGAAATTAAAAAAATAATCATCCCGGTGACTGTGTACCGTTTGCTTTGTACTTTAAATTCCGTAAACGACTCGAAAATAGTTTTGAACCAGACAGAATCAAATTCTACCTTCTTTTACATCTAGGATGATGTGATCTATCGACAAATTGCATTATCATTACTCATTACATTAAAATAGCGAACAATTAGTAAAACATGCACTTGCGTCAGAGATTTGAAATTGATTTTTTACACCCATTCGATAGCCCACCCAAATCACCCATCATAAAAAAGGGACGGAAAATTTTCATTGAGCTCTATTTGTTTACACATACGGCGCCCAAGACCGATGAAATCAGACCTTCAAGACAGGTAGAAACGGGAGGATCATAGGGCGGAACTCTATTCGAGATATACCCGGTATACCCTCCCACATGAAACTTGTAAGGCCATATTTTTCTTGAGAGTCTAATTTGTTTAACGCCTGTTTGGCACTAATCAAAGGGAATAATTATCAGCAGTACTTAAGTCGATTTCGATAATATTTTCACACTTACGACACTTTTCTTGTAGGTATACAGGGTGGTGACTTGCGTAACGCATCATAGGGATTTCAATGTAAAATTCATTACATGCGATTATTGGCTTATTCGAACATGTACTGTAAATTGTTATATTAGAAAACCGTTTTTAGTAATTTGGTCTTTCTTTATGCTGAATTCGCGGTTCTAAATATAAAACTTTTTGATAGAATTTGATTTGTTTTATAACAGACATTCCATGGCATGACGGATATTGGCGTAGTTTTTGTGTCATCAAATTCCATGGCATCGCAGATTATTGAAAAAGATGCGGGTTTTATTTTTCCAATTTTCCGTCTTTATTATGAAAACAAAATGATAACCAATACGGTTGATTGGCGTAAAAAATGTTGTTTTCTTCAATAGTTAAACCTTAATACATTTTTGCTATAAAATAATTTGGGGAGCCAATAATCGCATATGTTACGAATTTTACATTAAAATCCCTATGATGCGTTACGCAAGTCACCACCCTGTAATGCAACTATGGATTACATTGTTTTCTTGTGTGTTTCCGTTAAAAAATAGCAGACATGAATTCCTTAGCACTCTGTATATATCTTTTGAACAGTGTTTTTACGCATTGGGCGAGGTAGGTAGAAGTCTTACTTACGCAAATCATAAAAATAAACTTTAAGTCGCGCTTACATGATAAAAAGAAATTTATTTCGCGAAGTCTATTCAAAAATTCATCGGTTTAGCGGTATACACAAAATTTACTCCAAAGTTATTATTAGTGTAGATATATATTTGAAAAAAATAATAACAGTTAAGATACGAAGAAACGCCTATGATTTTTAGGGAGGGAATTTTTCGATGAAACTTCATCCGTAAATAGATTCATTCACTTCGCATTCGCAAAATTCGACTTTTCATCAGGCCCATATTCAATCACACTGCCACTCATATGCAGTCCTACTCATTCTTGACTCCGTACATCAATCAATTTGCGATGTTTTGAAAATTGAGATAGATAATTCTTATTGATCTAGACCTAGAGTTACACCTGGAACAGAGAGAGGGACGGACAAAACATGCATTTATAGGGAAATCTGTCAATTGTTCGAAAACTATCTTGATTAGAATAAATGCACGTGTTGGCTTCGTTTACTACCAACTATTTATTGACATACTTAATTGTTACATTTTGTATTGGAAAAATTGCAATAATTTTCAAACGTGGACTACGTACCGCGAATGGAATGACAAAAAAGTTCGATTTCAGCCTAAATACGAACTTATCAACGGCCCTCCTTTCATGCAGAGAGAGAGACAACCACAATCAACTACTACAGCAATTACTCAACGCCCGTTATTTTTATTTTCGGTAGTGAATATTTAAAAGGATTCACACTTTTCAAATTTCACTATACGTGTAATTGATCAACAATTTTTCAATCGTTTTGATGTTTAGACAAGTGTTTCGGAATCCCGGCCTGCTTGGTCTGAAAAGAAATTCAATCACATTTTTTAAAATCCAAGGTGGTCATGACAATTGAGAAAAAAAGAATTTTATTTCGCGGTAAAATGCCATTTGGGCCAACAATACGGCAAACTGATGTTAAGAGAAGCTGTTTAGAAAATGAAATTATGTCCGTATGCAAATTTTTACAAATCGGAAGTGAACCAATCAGTAGATATTTGATTTGTAGTCTTGCACTTTAAGAATGAAAGATAAATAATGGATTTCGAACCAATTGTTTTAGGTGTCACCGTGGGTGTCACTTTAATCCGAGCTTTAATCTTAATGAGAGTGATTCATTTGTTTTACCTATTTACATAGAATACTTGTTACTGTGGATTCTATGCAAGACTATATTAATGAAATACTGATTTAATCAAAGTGATCCGTTATTTGTGAAATGTTGCATATGGACATAATTTCATATTCTAAACAACTTGTTGCCGTATTATTGACCGAAATGGTACTTTACACCAACATACAATTATTTTATTTTCAATAAATTGTCACGCGGCCATCTTGGATTTTAAAAAGTAAAAATGTGCTTGAGATTTTTTTCAGATCAAGCAAGCCGGAATTCCAAAACATCAAATTCAAACATTTTTGATCAACTATACACGTATACTAAAGTCAATCCGGGGACACTGTAAGTATACCTATACCTACTACAGTAAATTAAAGACGTTTCTTACAAAATTAAATGGAAAAGAATATTACATTTTCACTTTATCATTTGTTAACGAGAATTGTCTAAAAGAAAGGAAACAAACTCTGAATACCTAGATTCGTAGCAAAATTGAGGTCTTTTGTTATAGTATAACTGTCGGTCACCCTTAAATCCATTACTGCGTGTGCGAGTGCGTGTGATACAATTAAAATGCTAATCCTTTTCAATTTTGAATGTAGCTTGATACGTTTGCTTTAATTCGTAAATGTTCGTTTGGTCCAATTATGCCAGTGAAGCGAAGCGAAGACCATACTTGTGGTTATACTATGGTTTTACCCTTAATTAGGAGTAGTATGGGTGCTTTTCTTTTAGCACACTATTCTTCATATCCCTAATTGTTATTCTTTTTATATTTCAGACACCGGCGCACCATACGTTCTTTATAAAGATGGCATGGATAGGGCACAGACGCAATGGGGAGTGCACGATAATTATGGTGGTCCCCAACAAACTTCCTCTGGTGCGGCAAGTCCTCAGCAGGCTTGTGGACCCACTGTTCCGCTTGGGGTGGAGGCCGACGCAGGACCACCACGTGATCAAAGCCTACCGTCACCAGCACCGTCACCATATCCTGCTACACAAGCCGAACCGCGCGAAGATGATTTACAACCGGAACCCCCTTCGATGGATTTAGAACAGAGACCATCGTCACAATGCTTCGCTACCGATCTTCAACAGCCACCGCCGCCTCCTCAGCAACAGCAGCCTCAACAATCCGCATATCACCAATATTCGAGAGTACCACCCCCCGCGGCACCTCCTCCCGTACCGCCACATATGCTTGGTGCTGGCAGTTTTTCCGCGTTACACTACTTAAAACAGCCGGGAGTAATGTTGACGTCTTTGGGCCAGGAAACCAATGGACCGGTCGACCAATACACTAGTAGTATGCAAGATTTACGATCTGCTACTTTACCAGACGTAATTCAACAACAACATCACGTTGGCATGAAACAGCACAAAAATAGCCTGGGCGGAGAACTTCGACTCTTCAAGTGCCTAACTTGCGGGAAAGACTTCAAACAGAAGTCGACCCTTTTGCAACACGAGCGAATCCATACTGATAGCAGGCCTTACGGTTGTCCAGAATGTGGAAAACGTTTCCGCCAACAGTCCCATCTTACTCAACATCTTCGTATCCACGCCAACGAGAAGCCGTACGCATGCGTTTATTGCGAGCGCACGTTCAGACAACGCGCGATCCTCAATCAGCATCTGCGCATTCACTCCGGTGAGAAGCCATATGAATGCCCAGAGTGCGGGAAGCATTTCCGCCAGAAGGCCATCCTCAATCAGCACGTCCGCACACACCAAGGCGAGCGCCCTTGCTTTAATGAGCTTCTAACCTTCCGTACTTTCACAAATCGGATTGTTAGAAAACTGCTGTGCATATTTTAATAACCCTACACTCGCATTATTAAATAAAATCAATAACGCACAATTACATATCAGCCCGCGTAATCATTTTCAAATGTCCACCAATTGAGTTCGAAACATTCTCGATTAGTTTGTAATTGTGCATTCCTTAAGCAAACATTAATTGTAATAATCGTTTCCATTTACAGACGTCAGTCCGCACTTGGTATTTAAGAATGGCCTGAATCCCACATTATGGCCTCAAGATGTTCCGTTTCCTCAGGACGAAGGCAAAGAGGAGGTGACATCGACGTACGGAGATGGGGAAACGAATGCGACACAGCCGGATCGATCCGGTTGCTTTTCCCCGGGAAGTATAGCGAGCAACTTGCAATATCCTGCATATTTCAAAGATGCGAAAGGTATAAATCATTCCGTGTTTGGAGCTGCGGCCAATTTCGGAGCTTTACAATATCTCAAACAGAGTCAAGGTGGCAAATTACCCGACGTTATACAACACGGTAGGTCCGCCGGTATGCCTTTGTATGTAAGGTGTCCAATTTGTCAAAAGGAATTCAAGCAAAAGTCTACACTTTTGCAACACGGTTGTATACACATCGAATCGAGGCCGTATCCGTGTCCCGAATGTGGCAAACGATTTAGGCAGCAATCGCATTTAACTCAACATCTTCGTATTCATACCAACGAGAAACCGTACGGTTGTGTGTATTGTGGTAGAAATTTTCGGCAGCGAACTATTTTGAATCAGCATTTACGGATTCACACGGGGGAGAAACCTTATAAATGTGGGCAGTGTGGAAAAGATTTTAGGCAGAAGGCGATACTAGACCAACATACGCGGACACATCAAGGCGACAGACCGTTCTGCTGTCCTATGCCAAATTGCAGGCGGCGGTTTGCGACGGAGCCCGAAGTCAAGAAGCACATAGATAACCATATGAACCCGCACGCGGCAAAATCGAGACGGAATTCGACCGGTTCCGACAGCAGCAAACAAGTGACGCCTAACGGAATATTGCCTAGAGGATTAACCCCCACCACTGTTGTTAAACCAGAATTATACTTTCCTCAGTGTTACGCGCCAAGTTTCAACCCACCTAGCGGTGTAACGCAATTTCAAGGCCCCACTTCCGAATATAAAACTCCAAATGGATTGCCGGCTCAGTGACTAACGGCCGGCTGGCAGTTTCCCTGCATCGGGTGACATTCTGCCAGTAATAAGACTGATTTTGTGGTGGTTGTTACTTAATTGTGTTTTTGTAAGATGTGAGCTAGTACTTTTGATAGATGAAATATTTATTGATAACTTACGGATAGAAATCTTTTTTTGCAATGAGTGATGAATTCAAGGTGCTGATAAACCATGCGTATCATGATGGTTACGTTAAAATATTATACTGGCTTTAAAATAGATAAAGCTATAGACTTCGATATTTACAGCAAATAAGTAATTCGTTTTGGCGATCAAGCTAATTTTTGTAGTTTATACAATGAAAATAGATTTCGATGCATATCAACATTTAATTAGACTTTTGTTATTAAAAGGGGCAGTTTTTAAGTGTTTCGTGGGGAATTTCGTGTCGTTCAATTATTCACCATGCTTAAATAAAATTGTTTTCTTTTTACTTACTGTGATATTCTATTATTGTGTGAAAGCTTTGCTAAATGAAAGGCAATATTAAAAATGTTGTGCAATACAATTGCAATAGGTGTGAAAACAATGCGCTGTAAGTATCTGAAAGTCGAGCTTTACATATACATATAATATATATATATGTAATTAAAAATGTAAAAGTATTTTAAATTTTATTGGAATCGTGTCCTGTTCACCTAGTGGCAATACTTTTAATCTCAAAATACTTTATGTAAGTAAGTAACGTTAAGTATATTTACTATTGTTGTAGTTAGATGAAACTAATATGTGATCTCTTTAATGTAATCTTACGGAAAAGTGAAGGAGAGAAACTGACGGGTTCTAGTTGCATTTAGTATCGCGCAAAGAAGTTTGACAAAGGAATTTTTCAATGCCCCTTCCGAACCTCCCCATGTATTTTAATAGTTAGTGAAATATTTAAGGAAATTTTCATATGTACATAAACCACATAAACTTTGATGCATACTTGTTGGGTCAAAAACTCAAGTAAAACACGCGAGCAACCAAGGTGGGGGGGACCAATCCGATATTTTTTTAAAATGTTACAAGTATGCATCTACCGTTCAAAACTGTTTTCGATGCACCATTAGATCATATTTGACGAAATTGATTAACTATGCCGATAAGAGATATGACAATGATGTGTGCAGGATACCCATTAAAATTGTATACGATTAATTTAATAGAGTTCAAAGAGAGAGAGAGAGACGTGCAGGTTTCAGTCTATTTATTAATTTTACGATTAAACGACTGTTATAACAGTCCAAATTTTGTTGATCTATAAGACTTGAAAAGCGTGATAGCATTTAATTAGTTTTTAAGTCAATTTTAGGCATAATTACGATTTTTAAATTCTTATTAAATAAGTGTAAATGGTTTAACTTTGAAACGGAAATGATACCTACGTATTTAAAAATTAGGAGATAAGTGGTTTCAAAATGTTAGATGTGATATCCCAGTTGATGGGTAAAAGTTTTGTTACTCATTAATGATATTATTAGCATATTTTAAAAATTGTGTTAGATTAATTTCGATATTAATTCTATTTCGTACTGTTTATATTTTTTTTGTACTTTTATATGTGAAGCTTTCTTACTTATAGAATAAGTAGCTGTATACTGTTGGATTGCTTAATTTATGTGGTCTAACCATGTGCACCTGGTCGTTAAGGGTCAGTTGTTCTTAACGATTTTACAAAGAGCATTTGACCCTTACTTTTGAAAGTGTATGTGTACTAAAACAGCAGTATAAGTGCCATAAATACTAGTTAGTTAGAAAAGTTTGTTACGCTATTGACATGCGGAATTTGAATTTTTAAATTTTTTAAAAAATTGACTGGTTATAGACGAATTAGGATAAGAGTTTATAAATAAGAATGAGAAGACTGGGATATTACCAAACAGGGTGTACCATTTGACTTGTAAATGTTTCTTTTCTAATATGCTGTAACTGTTTGTTTTTACATATTTTTTTAAGTGACATTTAAAACAAATCCCTTATTTATGTTTGTGAGACAATCTGAAATTAATACGAACTTAATGGTTACATGTTCTCAAAGAAAATCGAAGTATTTTGCGTCCACATACTTAAATCGAGAGAATCAATTCAATAACAAATTCACCTCAAGATATGCCATTACAATAAAACAGTTACTAATGCTCAATATAATACAATAGTTACAGTTTTTTTATCATAATCGCAAACACAAGTATTTGCTCAAAAGTACAAATACTGTAAATAATAGATACCGGAATTGTTTATATTTTAAATATATTCTAATAGGATTATATGAACTGATTCTCTTTGTACTGCATTTGAAAAATATAATTGTATTTGTTAAACCTTTACGTTATTTTTCATTTCCTTTCAGTGTGCAGCCTAATTATGATGGTCAATCAATTTGACATGAAAAAAGTTATAGATTCCATTCCCTGAATGATTAAGTGACTCACTTCAACTATGTCAATTATGGAAGGGAAAAATTCTTGCCTCTCCAGTAAGTAAATAGAGTTGCGACCAAGTATGAAGTAATATGCAAAACTAGAGGAAATTCTAAGGAACTATATGAAAATTTAGGGAGGACATTTTAAAGATACTGTGACTGAAATTGGAGTACGCGCACATAGAATCATGGTCTGTGCATAGAATGGCCGGAAGAAATTCAGTTTACCTACTCGACTTATTCACCAACTGATCTTCAGGAAGAATAAACCGATACAACGGAATATCGAAGAATCCTCTGTATTATCAAAAGGAATGTAATCTCATGGAAAAATACATACGCTCTAAGAAAAAGGGAAGAAGTATACACAAGAATAAGAATAGGGCGCACTCGTTTGACGCTAGCTACATGTGCGCGTAATATTAATTGTAGTGTATGTGGAGTAGCTTATACAGGGTGGTGACTTGCGTAACGCATCATAGGGAATTCAATGTAAAATTCATAGCATGCGATTATTGGCTCCCCAAATTATTTTAGAGCAAAGATTTATTAAGGTTTTTTGTAGAAAAAATTTGTTTACGTCAAGCAACCGTATTAGTTTTCCCTTTTTTGCATAATAAAGACGGAAAATTGGAAAAATAAAACCCGCATCTTTTTCAATAATCTGTGATGCCATGGAATTTTATAATACAAAAACTACGCCAATATCCGTCATGCCATGGAATGTCTGCTATAAAACAAATCAAATTCTATCAAAAAGTATTATAATTAGAACAGCGAATTCAACATAAAGAAAGACCAAATTACTAAAAACGGTTTCCTAATATAACAATTTACAATAAATGCTCGAATAAGTCACCATTAACTGCAAGACAGTAACCAAGTCGATCACAAAATCCATTTCGAACTGCTGCTAAGTGATAACAACTGGATATCTTTTTGTTTTAGAAAATTCCATGGCATCGCAGATTATTGAAAAAGATGCGGGTTTTATTTTTCCAATTTTCCGTCTTTATTATGCAAAAAATTGAAAACTAATACGGTTGATTGACGTAAACAATTTTTTTCTACAAAAAACCTTAATACATTTTTGCTCTAAAATAATTTGGGGCGAGCCAATAATCGCATGTTATGAATTTTACATTGAAATCCCTATGATGCGTTACGCAAGTCACCACCCTGTATACACTGCAACATTTTTTAATAGATTGTCCTGCAGATAACAATGAAAGCAAGAATTTGAATCTAGATAAAGACATGGTTAGCATTTTAAGTAATGATCATATAAGTATTGAGCGAGTTTCTAAAAGTATCTAATTGACATTTTTAGAAAACTTTAAAAACGTAAATCTTTCATAAAAAATGACGCAAGACTTTAGCAGTGGTATAGGCAAACACCTAAAAAAAAGTAAAAGGCAAGATTGTCTAAAAGTCTCCCCAATTTTGTCCCCTCACTGTATACACCAACCTAAAAGTTGTCATAACTACAACCACATCAGGCTAAACGTTACAAGAAATAATCAATAATTCTCCCACTTTTCTGGAACAATCAATACATTCAATTAGCCACAAACAGAAAACCAGAGTTTTTGAAATGGGATTAGGATGGGAAGACAAAGAAGTGCATTTCGATTTATCCTTTTCGTAAGTACTTACTCACATTCTCAAAGTGCATCTTACTATACATACTGATGTTTTAGGGATATGCGCCTCACAATCGGTGAAAAAGTGATAGACAGATTGGATAACATAGAAGATACAAAAGGCAATGGCGGTGACAGAGGAAAGCTGATTATTACAAATTTGCGGATTTTATGGCACTCTGTGTCAAACCCTCGAATTAATTTGTGTAAGCCGTTGCATGTAGGCACCTACCTACAAATAATTTATACCACCGTTTTTCAGCAATCGGCTATAATTCAATCACGACTCTAAATACCAAAATTGTTAATTCTGTAAGTTACATTTGCTTGCTATAGATCACAAAGGAAGTATTTTAGAAATTACGTGGTACGACTCAAGCTCTTTATTTAATGACGGTCTGCCATGGCTCAAGATATGAGTTTATTTTCACTAATTTAGTTCCCGGAAGTATGCGTCACTTTACTTCAGTTACAGGAGTTCATAAGTATTAACATATGTAGTATTATATATTGAAAACAGGTGTTTTATAGAGCGTATACTACGTCAAAGGCATATCGAGAGTTAAAACTGAGGGGAGCCGTAGTTCACAATAAAAGACTACGAATTCTACCTTTAGAACAGGTGTGTAACGTTTTACACGGTGTATGGAATTTATCAAGCGACCAAGGCAGCCTTGGCACATTTTACATCACAAATGTGAGACTTGTATGGTTTGCGGATATGAATGAAGCATTTAATATCTCTTTGCCATATCTACAGATCAACAGTGTAAGTTTGCAAAGTTCCACGCTAAGGTAAAGTGAAACAATTTTAGATAAGAATCAGAGACTCGAAATTTGGGAGGGCCCTCGTCATTACGTGCAACCAAACCAGTGGCGGCTACATTTTGGGATTTCGTATTGATCCCGAAGACCAGCTAAATCTAATATTCAAGGAATTGTCCTCGCTCTTTACCGTTTACGCCTCGAATCCGATATACGGAATTGAGTACGAATGGAGTTCGAAAGAGGACGAGAAAGAAAATGCAATTCTCACAGAAGACGTTGAGGAAGTCGACGACCCTCGAAATGAAATCTCTAACGTTTTAATAACTTATTCGGCCAACGGGGACACTGGTAAAGATAGACCCATTGTTTATTCCAACGAATTGGGTCTTGCTATTGAAAGTCTAAAGGAAGGTTACACCATACAGAAGCTCTGGGAAGTAGTTCCCTCTTAGTGTATTAATGTGCAAATTTAAGCCGATTGGTTTCAAGTTGAAGCTAAACAGAAAATTTAACGATTTACACAATTTTGGAATTTTAACGATCGAATTTCGGAATTATTTCAGTTTTTATTTTCAATTTGGTTCACATAGTTTTATATCTTATTTTTAGAATGATTTCTAAGTTCACTACTTATTTTTTGATGGTAGTACTTATAGTAGGTAATTTATTTTACTTCATAAAAATGTTGCGGCGGGTTAGATAGTTCCTGGTCAAATTTGTCACCAAGATGACAGTTTAAGAAGATTGTACCAGCCCACTTAGTAGTTACTACAGTAGGTACCTACGAGTAAAAATTTACTCGTAGGTGGGTACAAATAACTGAATTATACCTACCTGATGGTCTTTCTGTTCAATTTATATGCACTGTTCACTTTCCCCCACTGCTTAATATAGATACAACATGCAAAAAATCCTACCTTTATAAGGCTGCTCTTCTGGAATCTGAAACAAATAATAAACTTACGATAAAAGAGTGAAAAAATCAACAATAATCCAAATTTTTGTTGATTATCGACAAAAGTAATTATAATCTGCCACTTACGCAACCAACAGGCGACTATACATACTATTTATATCTAAGTTTTTTTATAGTTTATGGCTTGCTACTTTTTTAAGAGTTTAAGTCAACTAAACTTAAACACATCAACGTTGATAATTTAGATATAGTATGGTTGGTTGCCTAAGTGGCACTCTGGCAGTAAGCTTCCGATTATCATTACTTTTGTAGATGATTATACAACACGTAGTAATTAAAAAATCAAAATTTACCGTTCAACCTTATTCATTCCGTCTCGTCTGGCAGGGACCGCATACTGTTCACGATCATTGGCTGGTAGTAACTGAAAAAAGATAATCATACATCATAAAGAGTTTCTAATGAAACAATGGTGTTTTTTTTTGTAAAATGATATTAAAAATATATTTATGAAGTTATATTTGTTATTATTCCATTGGAAAAATCCTTACGTTCTTTAAAAAAAGTGCATATAAAGAAAAATGTTTAAGCCAAACACAATAATAATTGTATTTAACATGAAATTTCTTTTGCCACGTCCTGTTTGAATATACCCTTGTAAAATAAGAAAGTGTCTGACATGATTTAAATTTTAAATGATAAAATGCGACCATTAAAAAATTAGAAAAAAGACGAGGAGCGATCCTAATCGATTTTTTGCTAAATACGATGTCATAGGTACCCACCTTGTTCGTTTGAACCATGTACGATTTGATTTTTCATGATGATTGAGTTGGTTCCGCGGAGTAAGCCGCTGGAGTAATTTGGTGTACACAGCTTGAGTAATACGAGTAATGCCGTTGAATAAGTAATCTTATTATACCGAGTAATAATAGTTGAGTAATACTGAGTAATAGAGGGTAATACTTTGTGGTAATACAACATTATACCGGGTGGTGCCTAGCGCGACGCAGCATAGAGATTTCAATGGTAATTTCTTTATAGTTAATTACTAGCTTCCCTAATTATTTTAGAGCAAAAGTCTAATTTCAGAGAAAAAAATACTGCATCTGTTCATACTATTACTCATAATTTTCCGTTTTTCAAAACCGTAGAAATCGACAAAACAGAAAGGTTCATTTTACAATAAATCAGATATGCCTTGGAATTACCTAAAAAAAGAGCGATCACGTTTCATTATTTTTATTTGCCTTTGACGTTTATTAAATTAATAATTTATACTTGTTTTCAAATTAGTTAAATAACTGCAAGTGCAGTAACGTTTAAAATGTCTGTCAGAACCATCAGGAAAACGAGAATACATTCAACGTTTTGGCTGCAGTAGCGGAAACTCTGAATATAAGTTTAAGAACAATTCTTCCTCAAATCAATTTCTTTTTCTTCGATTATGTACTCTGATTCCGGAGAATGATAAACTTACAATGCGATCAAATATGAGTTGCTGTCAAGTCACCTTTGGAATCTTTGTTTACATGGGAATTCGTATTTAACTTGAATTTCCAAAGGCGACTGGACAGCAACTCATTTTTGATCGCCCGTTAGTATCCGATGCAGATGCAGCATTACATTCTCTAAAAAAACCTCGAAAAAAACATTACCCCCTAGATGCCTTTTATTGGGTCGGTTAGTTGAAACAGAATTAAATATGAAAATCGTTCGACGTCAAACAACGATAACTTAGATGCGATGCGCTTGTAGTTTGTTAAAAGATTCCAAAGCACCACTGATTTATAAAAATGTAATTTTTTATTATGTCGATTTCTACGGTTTTGAAAAATGAAATTATAACTAATAGTATGAACAGATGCAATATATTTTTCTCTAAAAAAACGTATTTAGACTTTTGCTCTAAAATAATTAGGGGAGCTAGTAATTGACTATAAAGAAATTACCATTGAAATCCCTATGCTGCGTCGCGCTAGGCACCACCCTGTATATAGTAATATGTATACGTTTTAAACCAGCGGTTTACCCCTTGGTTGGATTCGATCTGCGATCCATCACTTGAGTTGTGGAGGGATTCTAGTCTGGAACGATGCACTACTTCTTGCTGGTACTGCGATAGATGAGAGAGATAGATAAAATTAGTGGACCTCAAAACATGTCGCTAAGGTGTATTCGTTTCATAATAATTTGTAAACGTTGAGACTACAGATCTTTTTTTCTGAACGGTTTGAACTCTCAAAACTTAGTTTAGATGATCAAATTAATACCCAACGAACACATCCATTCGGTGATTCAGTTACGAACCTTTCTTTTATACTTACACCATCAGACTGACCTTCGTGTATAATAATAAATGAGATGCATCAGTTCAGCTTGGTAACTTTGCAAGAAAATTTACTTTACTTAATAAAATTGGTATGACTGTGAATTCACAGCCATACTTATTACGAAGTAAAATGATGCTGCGAAGGAGTCCATTCGAATAATGATTGCAATCAACCTTAAGAGTCTTCTGTACCCACTGCACCCAATGTAAATTTCCATAAGAGCGCCCGCCATAAAAACTCTATAGTTGTTTTTCAAAAAACAATTTTTTTTAAGAACTATTTTATAAATTTAGACCTTTATCTACAAAATGTTCGGACTATTTTTTTTTTAAGTTTATAGCAACTGAATACCGATTGTTTAAAGATTAGATGTTTCGCACCGATTATTGCGCTGATCTGTTTTATTTTTTTACTCTCGATCAAGACGATTTATGGAAAAAGTAAACCGACAGTTTTTTACATAAGTTACTTTTAAACATAACCCCAAAAAATGAAATCATAATTTTTGTAAATAAAGTCTGTATCTTGGCGGGCGGTAAATCAACAATTTGAGTGTAACAAGTGGCGCCGCTGCACAGTGTCGGTGGGAACTAACTAAGCACCAAGGCAGGAGTTGACAAAGCAAGAAATTCATCTTATCTCTTGCAGCTATAATCATCTATACACTAAAATGCAAAAAAGTTGCGCTTAGGAAAGAAGACTCTTAACGTTACCAAGATGGGGAGATTAAGAGGGTGGTCACAACTCACTTAGTAATATACACTACTACGAAAGTCAGCCAAAAATATTCGTTGGTCTTCATAGTCACTGTGCACTATTCACTCCCCCCCTTTCACTGTTACATAATATAAAATGAAACAAACCATGCCATGCATATAAAATGAAAAATCCTACCTTTATAAGGCCGCCTTTCTGGAATCTGAAACCAAGAAGAAATTTAATTAAGATAACAGTTTGACTAATTTGCAGCATTTGTTAAGTTATAAGTATCACCATTGAATTTATAACTATTATAAATTCAATGGTATTACATTATTGCGTTTAGTAAAAAGTAAAGAAATTTACCCATAGCCTTAATATGTCGGTCTTGCCTAGGAAGGACCATTCACCGCGGAAGAGATGAAACAGAAATGGGCGACGTATATCTTCAGTGCCAGTAACTGCAAAGTAAAATATTTTCAATTAGTAAAGTAAATTAAAAAACGACGAAATCTGTGTACTAGGTATATGCGATCAAAAAAGGGTTGCTGTCAAGTCACCTTTGGAAGTTTTGTTTACATGGGAAATCATATTTAACTTGAACGTCCAAAGGCGACTTGACGTTCATCCTTTTTTGATAGCCCGTTATATCGACTAAGGGGCTTGCAGTAAAATTTTAAAAATGTTTTATCGACACTTTCGGTTGAAGAGATTTCAGTAACTGTGCGATACGTAGTTATGATTTCCGTACTTATTATACGTTACGTAGTCTAATTAAAGTTACTCTTTCGTTCAGTTTGGTTTAGGGCCTATTAACGCTCATCACCACTACCTTTCTTTGAAAATAAACACATGAGACTGCAAAGTGTATCATAAAACTAATCATAACATTAAGAATTGGTG